AACACCATCATGAAACTTACCCATGACTTAAAGATTGTCATCTTTTAGGGATAGTCTTCCGCTTATTGATTCTGGATCGATGGAAAATCTTAGCTTTTCAGATTCTTTTTACGAAAAAAAGAAGATCTTATAAGCTTTTAAAATAAAATGTGTGGCTGCTTTTGTCTCAAACTTTATTATACAGTTGTTCTTGTAATGATTAGTTTTACTACATAGATAACACACACCTTAAAATCGTGGAAATGTTTGAGGCAATATTCATTTTGTGCTAAGAGATTATCAAAAGTATTATTGTAGAATGTAAATAAATGACTAATCTATGTAAGGTTCTATGGTAAAAACTAGATAAATTGCAAAGGGACAGGAGCGAGTGAAAGCCACGTGAGGAAGGTGTGTAAAAGAGCATGGGTCTAAGGGGGAAAATATTTTAAATCAAAAGCTTTAAAAACAAATCTTGTAGTAGTAGTATAAATGTCAGAGTAATCACGTGGATAGTCACATGACATAACGTCCACGTGTCACAGAAACAAGAAAAAGGAAAAGGACACGTGGGCCTCTCGCGCGTGGCTCGTTGTCCCTCCCTCACCGGACACCCAATTTCTTTCCCAATCATTTGATGCGATGCGATTTTGCTTTTCCTTAGCTATTTGTGGAATTATGTTTATACCCTTGGGCCATCATCCATCCACTCATGAGCTTATCAAAGCCTCAATCATTCAATATGATGGCTTTGCCTTTTGCCTTTGTGTGTGTGTTTATGTTTACATATTTACAGCTGTACTCCGCGTGACTCGCACGTGACCTCGTCTCTACCCTTTAATAGAAGAAAGTTCCTCCTTTGGGTTTTGGAGTAAACCAGATTGGTAAACAAAGGATAAAAAGCTGGTTACACTCGTGTCGTGGCCACTAAGATTTCATCAAATCAAATCTTGTTCGATTTAAGATAAGTGCCTGACTAATGTCGAGGACTTTTATTTGGGCCTCTATCAGCCCACTATAATAAAGTTCTACTAAAAAGCACTCAAAAACATTTTTTTTTCAATCCACGGTAAGAAATAAAATTGAACACATCACTGTCTTAAAATAAGATATGATATTAAGAACACTTGTGAATTAAGCATTCACGAATGAATTAGGACGAGCAGAACTTAGAAACCTCATTTGATAAAAATGCCAATTATTTGAACCCAAAACAGAGTTTAAGAAAAAGATATGTCCCTTGTTCATACACAAACCTAAAGCCTTTTGACAGAAAAAACAGATTTATTAATGTCAAACCCACAATCAGCTGCGAAGCCCGGTTGGCCTAGGTCCGTCACAAACCTCACAATAAAAAGTAGGACCTCCGCTTAAGTCGACACCCTCTAGTGGATCTACTAAGGGATCTAGAAGGCTTTGATCGATAGGCTCTCCTCCATCTAATAGGCTTTTCCAAAGCCACGATGAGTTTACATCAGGAGGTGGTGGCATTCCTTGTGATGCAAAGTCATCAGGCAGTACTACGACAACATTATACTCTGCCCACGTACAAGATTGGAGAACACTGTTCAACAACGTTTCTATCGATATGTTTCTTGAGATTACCACCAAATTTATTGGGTGAAAATAGTCGGAAGGATTGTCCAGTGACCATAAAAGAATGTCGACAATCATATTATCCAATCTCGTACTTTTACCCCCTGAAACAATATCAAGGAAGATCATGTAAGTTAGAAGAGAAAAATGTGTTAATTAAGATGGTAAAAGGAATATATATTTACCATGGGGATGGAGGGTAATTCCGGCATCCCGGTATTTATCCAGTACTTGATCCGGGAATGTTTTATCTTCAAAATAAGCAGAGATTGACACGTCACCAAAACATTTGATAATTGATAGTAGTTTCAAAAAGCATCCCAGAAGACCCGTTGTGTTGGTCAGGGCTCTTGAAGCTATGAAAGAGAAAGTGTACAATATTCTTTTGGCACAGCATGATGAGCATGACGACTACGACAAGGCACTTGCTATTGCAAGCGATGTATGGCTCTGGGAAACCCTATTTGATGGAGGAGAGCCTCTTGGCCCATATGTAACTGATACTGATAGTGAGGAGGAAAGCTCACATGATGCCAAACGTTCCAAGACTGATGCTGATTCTGATGACATGTGTAGCTAGCGGAATGTCATTTGTGTATAAAAACATGCATTTGTCGTTTGTTTGTTTCATCTTTCTTCTCTAAATAAAACCTCTGTTTTATGTCCAGATTATTTGTGGGTTTGTCCCTTTCATTCCCATAGAGGTTTAAGCTAGATAATAAATCTATGCATGCTATTAGTGAAAGTATTTTTTAGCAAAATTTCAATACTTGACTACATTTTTCTTTAGTCTACTCTTTTTTTTTTATAATATATAGATAGGGCTTCTGCTACACAAGTTATGAAAGAAGTTTGTGATAGACATAATTAAGACTCAAATTGCAGAAGATGTTTGATGAATAATACGGCCTTCATAATATGTATAAGCTATGCTGCATTTAGTTAAGAGTTAAGACTAACCAAGTTGATTTTCCCATCAATGTTCAACACCGGTTTCAAAGTATCTTAAACCCTGAGATTAAACACTCCATCAATAAGCAGAAGCAAAAGAATGTGGATGATGATTGCATTGAGTTTTGGTACTAAACCATAACCAGGTTTCCGCATACAAATTGGCAACATTTATGCAAGCAATCGGTTGAATCTCGGCTTAACCTGGTCCGGTTCAATTTCTTATCTTACCCGATTCGCTATAAATGGCAAAAGAGTAATTTGTTATAAGTTCCGAGGTCCTCTTAAGTCATTTGTCTTAACGGTATAGACGGCACGGGAAGAGAAAGACACGCCGGCGGAGAAAAACCCTAATCCCCCAAATTCGACCATGTTCCTGGTTCGATTGAAATTCGCATCGATCTTTCATAATTTCAGTACGGTGGCGGCGAAACATAGAAGAGTACCGTCCAAGTACAAGTCTCTAGCCATCGGAAAAGCCCAGCAAGCCATTACAGACTATCTCCACACCACCAGGTCTCTCTCCTACACTCACGCCGAACAGATTGCCTCAAACGCCTCCGTTTCGATTCGAAATCTCATCCTGAAGCTTGATTTCTCTGTTCCTACCTTCTCCAAATCGCTTCGGAAGCATCTCAGTTACCACCCAATTAACGAATTCGAGTTTTTCTTCGAGAGCATTGGCATTGATTACAGCGAGGTTTGTGAGTTTTTGCCTGAGAAGAAATTCTTCTTCTCTGAGGATCGGACTGTGTTGGATGCAGCTTGTGCGTTATCTGGATTTGGGTTTCCTTGGAACAAGCTTGGTAAGTTGTATAAAGAGGAAAGGTTGGTTTTTGTGCAGAGTCCTGGAGAGATTGATTCCAGGCTGCTTAAGTTTAAAGATTTAGGATTCAGTACAGTTGCGGTGATTGGTACTTGTTTAGCGTTTCCTCATGCTCTGTGTGGAGGTGGTGAATTGGGTTCGGAGATACTTTGTTTGTTTGTTAAGCTGAAGAGACTTTTTGATGAATTTGATTCACAGCATCTTTGTGAAGAAAATGTGGATTCTTGGCTCGCCGTTAGTAGGAAAATTAGGGTCTTTTACGATTTGGGTTGTGAGAATGAAGAGATGTGGGAGTTGATGGGTAGAAATAAATCACTTTTTCTGGAATATTCTGAAGAAGCTCTGGTGAAAAAGGCGGAATATTTTTGTCGGTTTGGTGTTAGGAAAGAAGATGTTGCTCTTTTGATTCTTCGAAATCCCGCTATTATGAATTTTGATCTAGAGAAACCAGTGATCTCTGTTACAGGAATGCTTAAGCATTTTGGATTGAGACAGGATGAAGTGGATGCTGTTGCTCAGAAGTACCCGTATGTTTTGGGTAGAAACAAATTGAAGAATCTGCCTTATGTGCTTAGAGCAATAGATTTACATGAGAGGATCGTTGATATATTGAAGAATGGGAGCCATCATTTACTCGCTAGCTATTCGGTTATGGATCCTTATGAAGACTTAGACAGAGAGTATCAAGAAGGCTTGGAGGAGCTTCAAAACTCAAGAACCAAAACACACAATATTCAAAAACTGGATTTCCTTCATGAAATAGGGTTTGGCGAAAACGGCATGACTATGAAGGTACTACAACATGTCCATGGTACGGCCGTAGAACTACAAGACCGATTCCAAATCTTACTAGACAGTGGCATCATTTTCTCAAAGATATGCTTGTTGATAAGATCAGCACCAAAGATCTTGAACCAGAAACCACATAGCATACAAGATAAGCTAAGGTTCCTCTGTGGCGAGATGGGAGATTCTTTGGACTACCTAGATGTTTTCCCAGCTTATCTTTGTTTTGACCTGGAGAACAGAATCAGTCCAAGGTTTAGATTCCATAAGTGGCTTGTGGAGAAAGGGTTGAGCGAGAAAAGCTATTCAATCGCAAGCATTGTAGCTACGAGCGAAAAGGCGTTCATAGCTCGTCTATATGGGATTCATCCAGCAATACCTAAACATTGGTTTGAACGCTTCGCCAACAGAAAAACCAGAGCCACTGTAATCCTAAACTGAATAAAAAGACTCTTTGGATCTTGCTGAGCAATGTGCCCTTCAGGTTTCTCAGATTTCTGGACCTGAACAAAACACAAAGAACCTTATTGCCTCAACTCAAAAACGTTACAGAATCTCCAAATGGTAACAACTGCGTGTGGAGATTGCAGATGAAGCGTTTGTTTGTTTGTGGGGTGTAGAAATGATAGGCACTTGGATAATTTGTGGTTACCGATTAGATGTGGTAATAACTAATCTGTACCACTCGGTGGATTCCGTTTTTGGGCTCTTCGTAGATTATGAAAGTGAGAGAATTATTACACGCACCTTTTGTATTTTTTACTTCTTTTTTTAACAGGCAACTAACTTATTGCAATTGGTTGGTAATTGGGCTCCCCTGTCAACGTGGAATTGACTTGATCGCAAAACGTGGGACCAAATCGCACACGTGCCAGTGAAAATAATCGAGCTGCTTTGTTATATACAGTACATCCGGATAGTTTGACTACACATTTCAGTTTTAAAGTCTTGTTAAACAAGCAAATGGTTGCGTGCAAGTCACGTGCGTCTTACGTTTGGAGCCCTTGTGCTCAGTGTGGCAGCGGCTGTAAATCCGACGATATAGGAAGGGTAATATAGTCATTTACTATGTTTCTATCTTTTTTTGTTAACACTTTGGTTTGGGGTTTCCATCAGCAATAACATAACTGCCGCTCTTCATCTCTCTCTCTCTCTGCATTGGCTCTGTGTTTTTGAATTCTCTATTGATTTCCATTAGGGTTTTCTCACTTTCTTCGATCGTTTGAATTATAGATGTTCCGTCAATCCATGGCGTTTCCTCCACCGACCCATGGTTCTGATGCACCGCCGCCGCCTCAGCCGCCGTCGGTGGTGAACGGGAGTGAAACTTCTAGACGGCAGAAACATATTGCAGCAGCTTCTTCTTCTCCGGTGAAATCCCATCCGCTTCATAACTTCCCTTTGTCTGATCTCAGATGGGCTATGAATCACGCCAATACACATCGGCTCCGCAAAGCATCGAGTAGATCTCCACTTCGTGAAGCTAATCATGGGAAAGGGAATCTGGTGATTGAGGAGGTGAACGAAGCTTCAGGTTCTTCGTTTGAATTGAGACCGGAGAAGAAGAAGGGAAACAACGCGGCTGGTGTTAGCGATTCCGCCGCAGATCGATCCACGACGAAGTCAACGACGCCGGACGGTAGATCGAAGATCTTCATACGGATCCGCACGAAGAACAACGAAGAAACAGCTGATATCGCCAACTCCGTCGTCGCCGCCGCTGTCCAAGTGACTGATGATTCAGCTGGTCAGGCGATCGATGCTGAAGGTGAACGGATCTCCGATGGTGGTGGTCAGGAAGCAGACGAGTTTGGTCCGAAGACTTGGAATCTGAGGCCGAGGAGACCACCGCCGACGAAGAAGCGTTCAATTGGACACAGCGGTGGGATACTGAAGAGCTGTAACGGTGCTTTACCGGAGAACAACAAATCTCTGGGAACGGTTAGAACAGAGTCAATTCGATCCAGGAACGGTGTAGATGCTAAGATGGCGACGACGGAAAGAAAGGAGAAGAAACCGAGGTTAATGATTTCGCTCTCAAAGTTGGAGATAGATGAAGATATCTACGCGTTGACTGGATCAAAACCTAGCAGAAGACCAAAGAAGAGAGCTAAGAACGTGCAGAAGCAGCTCGATGTAAGATTTTCACATTTCTTCTCATGAATCAGAATCCTTCCTTTTTCCTCAAACCTGACCTAACAAGAATTGTATGATCGTTTTTTCAGGTTCTTTTCCCTGGTTTGTGGATGGGTAACGTTTCTTCAGACGCTTACAAGGTCTCAGAACATGCATGAAAGGTATAACATTTTTGATGAATCCGATTGGAATACTTCTTCCTGTTTACTGTTGTTTAGGAAATAATGTAATATTTTGTGAATCTTGTAGGATTGAATGAGAATGATGTGAAGTTAATCTTGTTGAATTGGCTTGGACTGAAATCAGATAGGGGCTTCGAAGAAGCTTCTTCCACTGATTGAGGTAGAAAAGGTAGTGATTCAACGTTGTTTGTCATTTTGAGTCAGACTTTCTCCTTGGTGATCCTTATTGTTTTTTTGCATGCAACAATACTGTAAGTTCATGTGTGCAAATGTGAAATTGATTTCCCTGAAGAAGAGTTTTAGATTTGCTTGCTTGGACGATATGTGATGTGCTTACATTGGTGTCTTAGATTTCAGATAGTTAAGGTTAAACTTCCTATCTTCAATATTGGTGAATTGAGTGTAAACCTTGTATTTTAAAATCCTGATTTGGTGGAGAGTGAGGGTTAGTAGAGTATGGCGGTCTGAAGTCTGAAGTTGCTATGATTTCGAGGTCTAGACTTAGATAAATGGACTCACTTTGTATAAACCTTCACTTTCACCTTCTTACTCTCTCTCTCTCTATCTATCTGTACTGTGATGATGCAGAACTGCTGAATGATTCGTTTCTTCAAGTGTTGGCTTCATTGCTGGACTAGTGAATACTGTCTCGCCGGCGGTTTCAAGAGCTGATTTCAACTTCCAACTTCAGATTCGGTCCTAACTGGCGGCACTATAAAATGTGAATAAAACTAGTTTTCTGATCCAGTCGTCTTATTTGTTACCACTAATGTGAGGTGTTGATACGGCCTTTATTTTTTTTCTGTTTATTCATTCACTTTTTCTAATAAGATTAGTGGGATAGCCTGACTTATTATTGTAAGGGTGAATTTGCTCTATAACCATTTCTGATAAATAAATTAAGAATATAGCATATTAATTTGAAAAATTAAGTAACTAACATGAATGAATTGTGAAATGACTAAAATCGAGTTATTGAGGGTACGTGGCAAATGAGAAAAATAAAGAATTATCTTTATTTTGTTTTCCTCTATATTTTTAAATATGATAATGTTTACCCCTTAATATTTTTTTGCAACATATTTTTTACAAATAAATGATTCGAAAATTCAAATCTACTTAAAACAAATATATTTATGTTTCTGCATCAAACACAACTTGAATTTCTTAAATCGGATTTGATTTTTTTAAATAATAAATAGTGTTTATCTTTCTACACATAAATGAGATAGTATAGAATCCAATGAAATAGTATAGAACGAAACATTTGTAATAAAATGTAGGTAGTGGTGGTGGTGACGGTAATAACTTGGTGATGATATGATGATGGTAACGGTATGGTGGTGATGGCATAGTTGTGGTAGCGGTGGTGTGATGGCATGGTGGTGGTGATATAGTGGTGGTGATGGTGACGTCGGTGGTGGTTAGGACAACGACGATGGTGGTGGAGGTAGTAGTAGTGGTGGTGGTGACTGTTGTTGGAACTTTTCTCGTAAAGTTGAAATTCTGGAAAGAGATTCAAAATTTGATTCTCCCCAAAGAAACAGTAATCAAAACTAATATTTTACAGTTACAAAGAAAATGGGATAGATATTACGTAAAAACAAAAGAAGAGAGACACAAGGGCAAAAGGGTCCAAAATACAAAAATTACACACAATATCATTGGCTTTTTTTTGTTGGTTATTTACTTAATTATAGATTTTTTGTATGTTATTGGTGCAAATTTTCCTTATTGTAAAGGTGGAAAATAAAATCAGAATTATCAACATAATTTATTTATTTCATTACTAACTTCATAACAAACATGTAACAGAAAGCCAGAAATATATCACTTAATTAACCCCTCTTCCAAGTTCAAAGTTAAATTAAAGAATAAAATCTGGACTTTTAACGATTTTATAATCGAGCAATATTTATTTATACTTCATAGAAGGACCACAAGATTGGTTTTGTCACTCTATTCATCATCAATTCATCACCTCCACTCGCTTTGTCCCTTGGTTTATCCAACTCTTCATGCTGTAAAACCAAAAATTTACTGATTAATAACAAATTTGGACCTCTATAGTCTATACATTTCGTATTTGGACTACTTATTAGAATGTCACATTAATTACATTAGTAGATTTTACATATTGATCCTTCTATTATGCATTAATTACATATTGTTGAAAGAGATTTGTCCTAGTTGACCTAAAAGAAAAAAGAAGAAGAGAGTCGTCTATATATTGTTAAGTGATTTAGTAAAGAGAAAACAACGATAATTTGATCCAATGAATTTCCATTTATCAAAATAATTTAATCCAAAATATGAACAATATTACCTAAATATCTTTAAACAACAAAATCATTAGTTAAAACTTTGGTAAATATTATCCCATTAGCTGTTAGATAGCAGTTCAATTGACGTTTTTGTATTTATTACATCGGATAATGCCTAGTGGTTTCTTATCATGTTGGATTATATAGATGTAAACTTCGTAGTAAAATATCAATGAGTCGTGTTTTAAAGGAGTTTTAATTTGTAACTTTCTTGTGTGATAAGCTTCCTCGCAATTTCCTACTGTGGAAAAAAATGCCACTTTAACTTCCGTAAAAAGTTTGTAGTCAAAAGAACAGAACACCGTACCAAATCTCCTTGCATATATGTATAAATACCTCCCATTTCTACTGGCAAAGACCACACAGAGAAAGGCAATGGAGTCGGCTAAATCAAACATCCAAGGCTACCAAAATGTCATCGTGATGCGTCATGGTGATCGACTCGACAATTTCGAGCCACTCTGGACTTCAACAGCTGCGAGACCGTGGGATCCACCGCTTGCTCAGGACGGTAAGAACCGGGCCTTTAGAAATGGTCAGAGACTCCGGTCTCAGGTTGGGTTTCCGATTCACCGTGTATTCGTCTCCCCTTTCCTCCGCTGCATCCAGACTGCTTCCGAAGTCGTTGCCGCTCTCTCAGCCGTCGATTTTGATCCTAATGCTGTGTCTTCTAGAGACGTCCTTTCCATCGACAATACTAAGATCAAGGTCAGTCGTCAGAATATCGCTCTATATATTTTGGTCTAGTGGTTTGTGGTTAGTGGTTTATGCTAGTGTTGGTCCTTACGTGTCATAATCTAGATTTAAATTCAGAAGCGTACATACGTTATAAAAAAATACACATATTTTGGACTAAGCAAAATTCTATTATATATGTTCTTATAACCATGTTGATCATTTTGATTGAAGCATTTGAGATGTTTTATGCTAATGCCTTGTCTGGTCTGCTTCAGGTGGCTATTGAATTTGGATTGTCCGAGATACCGAACCCAATCTTTATTAAGAGTGAAGTTGCTCCCAAAGATGGGAAATTTGATTTCAAGATTTCAGATCTTGAAGCAATGTTTCCTGAAGGAACAGTGGATTCTAATGTGGATATGATTTATAAAGAGGTGCTCTATATGAAGAAAAAATCGTGTTTTATTTTTTTTATATTTTGTTTTGTGTGACTATATCTTAACTTCATTTCTCGATTCCTTGTTGGTTCTGTTTAGGTGCCAGAATGGGGAGAATCTGCACAAGCCTTCGAGGATCGATATTATAAGACAGTGAAGATTCTTGCGGAGAAGTATCCTTCTGAGAACTTGCTCTTCGTCACTCATTGTAAGCAAATTAGTTATGGCTTTTTTAGTTTTTCAACCAAAATTGAAGTTCGTTTTCTTTTTTTGGGTGGGTAATTGCAGGGGGAGCAGTAAGTGTTGCATTTTACAACTACTTCAAAGACGCAACTAAGTACGTGGTAGATTATTGTGGTAGTGTTGAAATGAGAAGGCAGATTTTGAATGGTGATGGGTTTGGTAAATTTGAGGTGGTTACTAGTCATGGAGTATCTTATAAGTACACCAAAATCCCAGTCCATGATCATGTACTTGTAAGCCAATCTCCGGTTGAACCGGTTTGTGTGTGAATATCTGGTTTAACGGTTTCCTTCAATCAAATACTTAAAAGGAGGCTAACTCTCTCCAGGAGAGTGACACGTCAGCATTTTTACCTATTGTGGAGCTGACACATCAGCTTTCTAGACATCCAATCAAAACATTTCGTTAATATGAGTCAGCTTTAATTTTTTACACATCATCATCTAATTATGAATACCAAATGGGCTATACAAAATAGCCCAAGACATATAGCCCATATGTATTTCCAAATAGCCAAAGTTCTCATCTTATCTTATCTTATCTAGAGCTAAGCGTAAAAATGAAAATAGAATGGCAAACGATTTGGCTAATCAAAACAAGGCTAAAAGTGTAGGCGTCGTAAAGTGTATGGTGAACATAGCAAGAGATTGATAGATTCACAAAGAACAAGTTTACAGATGTAAGTCCATATATTTTTAATCTTTTAAGTCCACACATTACCTTTCTAGGATTGCTCTCATCTTCTCCTGCAAGTTATTTTTTGGTCAAAGTAAACGTTACTTCATGCCATTGGAAAAAAAAAAATTAAGAAGAAACTAAAAAGTAGAATAAATGAGTAAGCAAACCTTTACTATAATCAGCCCATAAGTCCACTATTACAGAGTCGTCACCAACATTCTGCAAAGAAGATATAAATCATATAAAATTAGATCCCCGGGAAAAAAAAAAGGGCAAAACATTTTACACGTGTAGAAAATCATATCATCAAATTACTCACTTTTTGAACTTGTTTAGGTGCTTTCTCTTCTTTACCGATTGTCCTCTCCTCTCACTCTTCTTCAACTTTGGCTTTCAAGATGGCACTAACTCGACAAATGTATTCCTCTTTAACATACTGTCAACACGGACCACTTCCTCCATATCTTTCTCAATCTTACGCTTCACCAAAAGCTCTGATCTGTTAAATCAAATCAAATAACAATCAAACTCAGAAAGCCTTATTTCAAACATTAATAATACTCTTTTGCTTTCTAAATATCAATTTCATCCATAAACATTCTCATAACTCCAATCAAATCTTAACAAGCAGCTAAATACGTAACCTTTACCTGATTTCGTCCTCTTTCATCTTCTCTATAAACCGCCATTGCTACAATCCTTCTTCACACCAAAGGGTTTGCTTAAGTAAGCATCTTTTGTCACTATTTCAAATTCTCATATTCTATACTCGAAACATGTAATTTCCAGGGGACAACAGCCATGATTGCCCACTCTTAAATATCATCTCGACTGCCGGGAATATCTTTGAAAGTTCCGAGACATCATTACTTCAGCATAAACAAATCTAAAAGTCAGATACTTCCCTTGATTGAAAGTTATGATATAAATCACAAGTTTGCAAGAGACAACAAATACCTTGCAGCGACAAGGAAGCAAGTATCTTTAAAATTTGGATTAGGACCATCAATCTGCTTCAATGGGGAAACTTCTCTCATTACCTTCAAAAGAATAAGATAAGAGCCTAATGTAAGAAAAGGCACATAGAAACCGGGAACTTAACCAAACATTAACAATTCTCAGAGAGTTATAAGGGTCTTACAGCTTCCTCAAATGCTGCAAATGTGTGAAAGGTATTAAACGTATTTGTTAGGATTATACAAGATCCCATTCACCAATCAGACAAAACATTCCCTTGGAAACATACCTACGATCAGGGTCTGAGTCCGTGAATATCATATCAGATGGATAATCAAAACCGCCAACAATCATCGAACCTCCACCAACATCCAACCCTCCATAACACAAACCAAAAGAGTTGCTTATCAAACCTTTATCCACCAACTGACCCACAAGACTAAGGTCCCCTTGACCTAATCCAATAATTCCATCAGCACGTTGACTATAAAGATCACCGGTTTCAACAGTTTTGCAACCGAAAACAGCTCGTTGAGGTGTCAGGTGGCTTTCATTGCCAAATGAAATAAGATCTTCTCCAAGCACACCTTTACTACTACTATGTTCCGCATACTCTCTCTCATAAACACATTGTTCTTTATCATCATCACAATTACAGTCCATGTTACACTTCACAGGTTGATAAGTGCTAGACAATTCTGGCTGAAATTTTGGGTCCTCATCAAATAAACCATACGAAATTTTAAAAATTTGAACTTTACACGAGACAAGACACAAGATTTGATCTTTTGGAGAACTGAGCATTACCTGGTGTTTGCCACATTGTTCACAATCAGAACAAGGAACATAAGTAACAGTACTTCCAGAATCAACTATAAGAGCAAACATTTGTGGTGGTGTACCAATCCAAAGCCTCGTAGTGTAATACCTACAAATTTTGATAATAGTATAAAAGAGACATCTTTACACGACCCAAATCGGAAAAAGGTGTTTTTATTTACCCGTTAATAAGAAGATCGTCGTAGAGTCTCATGCGAGAGTGAGGCAGTGATTTTGAGTCGGATTTGTGGAGTTTTCGATGTGGGATTGAGATGGATCTCGAAGAAGAATTTGGTTGAGAGAGAAACAATGGGAACACCATGGGACGTCGAGATCTAGCGGCGGGAGATTGGTGGAGGTTGTTTTCACCAGCTGTGATTGAATAAGGAAGAGAGAAATAGATTAGGATTGAGACCGTCGCGCCGATTGATGAGATCGACGGCAATGCCATTTGATCTCCGGTTGAATTTTCCGATGTGATTTGACCGTACCGCCTGAGAAAACTGAAGGGGAATAAAAATAGATGAGGAGAGACTCGAACGTAACATTAGATCTACGGGAACCAAAAGCAGCTTTTGCTTTTGAGACAAAACCCAACAATGAAAAAACGACGTAGTTTTTGTGTTTTTAACGCCCTTTTCTAATATTTTCTTTAACCATCACTGTACAAATGTTTTTTTTTAATATACTGCATAAATTTTAAAAATCTTCAAAATAAAATAAAAATGTAGATAGTGTTGACACTTAACAGGCTTTATAGATTTAAAAAGGAGTAAAAACTGATTTTCTAGAATATTTATTAATTTTTCGCAAGACTATAGAATATTTCTGTAAATTGTATAAATAAGGGTTTGCTTAAGTAAGCATCTTTTTGGTCACAATTTCAAATTCTCATATTCTATAACCAACAATTCGTATCACTGGAAAAAAAACCCGATATCGTCGCTCATATTCTACACCCAAAAACTTATTTCTAGGAAGCTAGAAGAAGATATGATTCCTAATCAGATTAGAAAACAATCCTAGGCGAAGATTAGCTACGGCGAAGAAGAACTAAAGCAGAAAAGAGAAAAGAAGAAACGTTCTGATTTTCTAAAGATCTAGGGTTTATTTGGTTTAAGTTTCGAAACCCTCAATTTCAAAACTATTAAAGTGTACCGAGATAAAACCGGGCGGTCCGGCTTACGGTAGACCAGTAAATTCAATTGAGGAAAGATAATACGGTATCTGAACATCATCAAACTTCTTGAGAAAGAATCTGAGTACCGACGCCAAAAAATCCAGAGCTTCTTTGTATCGAAGATATCAAATATGATTTGAGGTTCAAATTCCGGTTAGAATGCGAGGAAGATGGATGATGTATTGCTGGAATTGCAGCGTCAATTCGAATTTGCTCACCAGGTGTAGCCAAGCTTGCGATTTCCGGAACGAAATGTTCTCGCAATGTTTCAAAAGCTTCAGTAGCTTAGCGTTATAGACTTCGATCTCCTTCATACTGTCACTGGAAAATACTTCATCACTCAGGTACTGATTCTATTTCCTATCCAGTGTCAATTTAGACTCCAGAAGAATTAATCCTGGGTATCGCAAAAAAATGCTATCATGATGTGAGTAATGTGTTCATGGAGTGTAAATTTGATAACTCTGCTTTTTGCATGACCAATTTCATCGGAAAAAAAATGAAATGGTTTGGTCGAGTATTTCCTGAACATTGGGAAGGCTTTGGTGAATTTTTTAAAAATTAAATAGAAGAATGAAATTACTCGTGAGATTAGTAATTTGAGTTATGAAGATTTTAGCTCAGGATTGCATTCAGTTTCTTCTGTCATTATAATGATGGAGACACATCCATAGGTTAATCTCCGTAGTTGCTACACATTAGTCTTAGTTTTCAGATCTGGAAGTAAACACTCTGTTTCTGCTGCAGGTCCTGGTGAATTATGCTAGGTCAGCAAAGGATGATGAAAAAGTTTTTAAACAGGTGATTCATTTCCCTGTATTAGAGTGCAATTTACATGAATCATGCACCAAGTTATTAGAATGTTTATAATCAGCTTTGGTTTTCAGCTCTTAACTTGTTTTCCTGCTTCGGGATATCGATTTGACCAAATAATACATAGGTGTTAGGAATGGAAGGATGGTGTTATTCGTACGAAAACAAATGTATTTCCTTACGAGTTTAACAATAATACTTCCTTTAAACAGTTTTGGTTTATAGGACAAGAAATGTAAACAATTGAATATTATGGCCCTTCAAACTGTTTCTTCCCGCCATGGGCTTCTCAAATGCCTTTGTGATTTTGCTCTTGATCCATCTTTTAACTAACAAATGTCATCTGCAGCCAATAGTATTTTCTTCTACAATGTCACCAAACTCCATGTAATCTCTGACAATTCTTTTTTATGGGACTATTGATTGAAGAATACGGTGGCCAGCCTATCACTTTTGGGGGTGATATTAACGTGGCACATATTAACGGCGAGCAGCTGTTGAATAATCATTTTTCCATATTCACTTACCATTCATTAGAGTAACCTTCTTTATTTTGAGTGCAGCCTTTTGCAACTGCTCAAAAGGAATGCGTAGACTCTTATTTTTTTGTCTTCCAGACATTTTCTGAGGCCTATCGTAATACTTCAGTGCAGCTTCCTAAACTCATGGTTAGTGGACCTTAATCTTTATTTCTAATATTGTCATAATAGGCTCTTATACCCATTAGTATTACATTTAATTAGTTCTACTCTGCTACTAGGTTGGGCTTCGTTTAGTTCCTAAATTAGTATAGGACCTATTGGTTTCCCCATGTTTCTTATAGATATAGTCAACACCCTCTAAGATTAAAACCAGGAACAAAATTGAAAAAAAACCACTTCACTCCTTAATGCTGAGATTCCACTTCCTACCTACATTAAAAACTTTCACATTCAGTACATTACAATTGAAACGTTATGATCTCTCATATTCCATGCCAAAATTTTAATGCTTGACATTCTGATTTCCTTTCAATTTAATACTCATTTAATAGATAATAGTGGGTATTTTAACTGACACAAAATAAAAACACTATATATATACATTATTATCCACTCTTTAAATTCTGACGTAAAAATATAGCCTAATAACAAAACCTACTCCATATCACTTACAAGCAAAATGTCTCTCATGAATGCTCCTAATCAAAATCTAGCTACCTATGTTGCATTTGATGATTTACAACTTGGAATTCATGCTTAACATGTTGTTGCTCGTATTGTTAGAATGTGGGAAGTTCACACCGAAATACATACCGTCACCGACCGTCATGTATTTCTCGGCCATTCACTCCTCCTGCTTGATGAGAAGGTATCCTTGTCCATTTAGTAGGAAAAAACAATTATATATTTTTCATTATTCTCTTCTCCATAAACTTCCAAATCTAACTACGTATCTTTTTTAACAGAATTCTGCAACTCATTGCTTCATCCCTGCATCACTAGCTGAAAAATACAATGGTATTTTCAAAGAAGGAATAATCTTACAAATTCAAGGGTTCGAAGTTAGGCCATGCACTAAACACAACAAAATCACAGACCATCCTTTTGTTATCAAATTCAACAATGAAACCACACTCATTGTCGAAAAAGAATCATGGCTGAAGATAGCAAAAGAAAAATTCAGAGTTCACAATCATGCTCATTTGGTTGGTTTTGCCAACACAAATCTTGCTTTGCCTGGTAAATTTTAACTTTTCATGATTTCCAATTTAATAATTTTTGTCTACTAAACAAAAGTTTAAGCTTTTTAACCTAACAAATATTTAAAACAACATGCTTTTAAATATTGCTTTCATATTGCCTGTTCTTTGGTTTTAACATATTTCCAACTCAATACAGATGTTGTAGGAAAAATAATTTCAATCCAAGGTTCAAACCTTTGTGACCCAACTTCAACAAACCAAATTGTTGTTAATTTATGGCTCCAACCGTAAGTTTCAAATCTTATATTCAAACAAAATTATTTCCAACCTTTCTATTATCTCTTTCCCAAAAACAAATTAATCACTTTGATCTTCATACAGAAATGTAATTGTCTCCTTGTCTCTTTGGGCTAAAACTGCTTCTCGCCTTCGAGCCATCCTATCTGGTCCAATCTCTTTAACATCTGTTGTTTTGGTAACAGCTGTTAATCCAACAATTCTTGATGGTACGACTATTTTCCCAAACCAAAAAATAAATCCATAAACCATGGTGGGAGACATGAAAAAAGAAGAAGTATCCATTGATGAACTTTACGACTATATATCCAAAGCTAACGAACAGGTATTTAATACAAAAGAGTATTTTAATTTATCATCACATATAAATAGAAGTACAACTAACTAAACTTGATAAATCTACAACACTTTTAAAAGACTCAGGATGCTGAATTTTTTTGCAACGCTTATGTTGTTGGGGTGCTACAAAGAAACGGATGGACATACAGATCTTGCAAAGATTGTGGACGGAATTTAGAGAAAAGGACATCACTACAAAGATGCAAAAGTTGTGTAACGCCTAATGAGGAAGGAATTCTTAGGTACGCTATTATTTTCTTATAGCTATTTTTAATAAATTGCAAACACAACGAATTAAAGATATAACAATTTGGAATTTTTTATATTTAAATACTATTATATACAACTATTTCATAGGTATCGAGTGGAGCTTGATGTTAATGATGGAGAACATGGTGCGACATTTGTGATTATAGACAAAGAAATGAGAAAACTTACAAACAAAACGGCAACCACAATTATGGAAGAGAAGGTAAATAAAATCTTAGGAAAGTAATTATCATATAATATTGCAAATTTTACTCATTTTTAGTAACAATTAAACCTAAAAATAAACATTTTTTGTAGGGCAACAAAGGTAACAACAATATCTTACCAACATGTTTAAGTGATCTTGCTGGCAAACATTTCCGTTTCCAAATAAGAGTATCCCCTCTCAACTATACCCCCAAGAATCAGAATTTCATGGTGTTAAACATAAGTTATAAAGACTTTGACAAGGTAAATATAATTTAAAAAAAAAAAAATTTACATAAACATATATAACACAAAATATTCATTATAGGGCTGGAGCACATTTGAGGAATCAAATCCCAACAAGAAGCCGACAACAACTTCTACAATTAGTTAAAGTGGAGGGACAAAAAATGGAGACCAAGAGAAAGTGGAGTTTAGAAAGCAATTCTCTTATAAAATACTTCAATACAACTGTGGACATGGTCTTTTCAAGCCAATCATTTTGTTTAACATTCAAGTTTAAAGTTTTGAGGATATTTGCTTTTCTTTTTACATTAAATAAATTGTTCTAGCTAAAAAAACAAAACATTCCAATTAGAGTTGATAAACTCCATATAAAATTACAAATTGTATAGATATTACACTAAAATAATAATAAAAAAATATTAAAATATATCTTAAAAGCTAAATGAGAATTTTTTTTAAAAAATGTATATATTAGTCTCAAACATGCAACGATATACAAAATAAATTTGAAAACAAATACATAATTTTAATAAAAATACAGGAATTTAATACTATATACATATAAATTTTTAAAAAAATTTTAAAAAATGTTAAAACAAAATTTATAACAAAATCCCGCGCGTAGCGCGGGTACTCACCTAGTAATAAAAAAACAAGAATTATAGTTCAGTTATGTTCCTTGTCTTCCACAAATTTTACAAAAATAAGTAACATAAGCTAAAGGGTTGTAATTTTTGTAGCACAAAAATTATTATTCAACAAAAATTTGCCAGACCGTATTTAAATTACTATTGCTATAAGCAAGAGAACAGTTTTAGCAAATTTCTGACCAATTTATGTTCATCTAGTCATATAATCCTTAAGTATAACTTTTTTTTTCCTTAAGTATAACTTAGTATATGGTTTGGACATATAAAGCATTGGAAAAAGTTTATAAAACTTAATAATTATCCCACTAATCTATACATATTTACTAGTGACATCTTGATAAGAAAAAAACAAACAAAATAGAAAAAAAAAAAAAAAACAAAGGACCTTCAAATTCTAAAAAATAACCCCTAAACAATTTAATGATTTCTCTGTTCTTCCGATGAAATAAGAATTGAATTCTAAAGAGTAAAGACCCGTTCAAAAAGTATGTATAGTGTTGAAATTTAAATTTAAGATTCAGATAAAATATTTATCAACATTATATATTCGTTTCTCAATTGTTTAAAATTAAGCAATTTTGAATAACAAAAAAAAAAAAAAAAAAAAGGAAAAATAACGATGGGTTATGTGAAATTGAGGTGGTTATTAGTCATGGATGTTATAGAACTTGTTGTTCTTATTGATTAATGAATGAGGTTTCAATACATATTTATACATGACAAGGGAGACAAATCTCCATTGGGCTAGTAAACCCTAAAGCCCAAAAGCCCACTAAGTATAACATAGACGTCATAAGG